AAGTAACAAAAAATTCTACGAAAAATAGTATAACGATATTTACAAATCGGACTGTACCAAATGTTAGATGTTTAAATTATTTATTACAGTAAGAAATATAATAATGCAAAACACTAAACTTAGCAGAATTATTTGGGTCACTTGGTGGGGAATTTTTTACTGACGAAATTCGTGTGAGACGCTCACAGTGTGACTGACACTGAAATAAGATGGCTGCCACATTTTCCTTTAATGTTAGTATGTAGTAGATCAAATGTTGCCAGACTTAAGAAAGTTACTAGAGCGTTCCAAATATCTATATTAAGGCCATAGCACCGTCACACAAGCGTCGTTACACAAAATACCGTATTATGGGACAACATTTTGAATTTAAATTTAATAATGAAATCACTTTTAAATAAAATATAAAATTGTTTTGTTATACAACCGTAACCCTGCCTATATATATTTATTGAAGTTTTTTTCGTTAGCTTTGCAAATAATAGAGTTATGTCACTATGATCGACTAATTCGGCGAGGTGGACATCACATTTTTGTATGGGGAAAAATTACCCTCATAAACATTATTTTTTTGTGTATCCATGAACTAATTAAAGTAGATAAAAATTATTTATAATAAGTAGATAGCTTAAGCTTGATACAAAAAAAATTGATTTGTAAATTCAATAACGCAAAGATTTTTTATAGCCGTTTAAAGACCGAGGACAGTGTTTTTTATAAATGTACATTTTTTTTTGAAATTGACTCATATATTATATTTATTTTATACAACAAACGTTCTACGTTTTTCTTTTATAAAACTCTGATACGACAAACTTACAATCTACCAAGATAAGGGGCTCTTGTCACCAACACCTGCCAAATGCAACCAACTTCGAACAAAGAATGCTCAGATGTGTTGTCACTTCTGAAGAACAAGATGGAATGCCTCACAATCTTTAATATACGTACCCTACAGACAGAAACACAGCAATTCATCAGCAGAAACAGAACGTGTAGTATTGTGATACCTACCTACCTAGATGCTGTCCACAACTGCATTGCATTAACTGACATTACACCATAACACATTAAAATAAAAGACACAATTAAAAAAATATGCATATAAAATATAAAAGTATAATATATAATAATATTACCCCACTTGGAACATATTACAATAGCTATACTCAAAATATTAAACCAAGTAGACCTATAACAACTTTGTGATGAAGCATAGGGCGCTCCATACTTGATACATTTTTCTAATGGAAAAGGAATCGTAAAACGCCTAAAATTACGCAGCAGTTGTACGGTTTTCTGCAAGCTACAGTGGTCCGGTTATATAATATATCTCGAAGAACCGACAACAGATTGAGAAGGAAGGCTCTTGAATACCAGTCTTGTTAGCAGTTTTGGGCGAACCCCTGAAATATAGGTATTTGATGGACCTGTATGCTACTGCTAGCTACTGATAGCTACCGTAATAGCTACCGTAGTATTAGGGATTTTGCGGATGCAGAATTTATTACATTCGCGGAAGCGAATTAATTCTTTGCGGATAGAAAGTTTTCGTATTGATTATTGCGGATGCGGATGTCTAAATCAATGCAGGAGTTACGCAATTGTAGATGCGAATACAAGTATCTGCATCATCCCAATGGGTGATATATGGGCAAAGCCTATGTTTAGCTGTGAACATTTGATAGACTGTAATGCTGGTGCTGAAGGTGATATATTAACCTGTATAATTATATTTATCAATAGGATCAAGTTGCGGCAACTGGCTTGTATTCTTATATTGTAGGTACTCATACTGAGCCTTAACTTTGGTAAAATATAACCCTATAGTTATTTAACAAGCCGATTAATCACCTATTAAATCTTTACGCGTAAAATTTTAAAGTTGGAAAATGCTATTTTATTAACTATGTCGTTGATGTCGTTCCGTATGCCTGGACAGAATTATGCACAGTATTTAATACCGATCGATAAGTTACGTCATCCGCACGTCATTGCTCGAGTCCCAGAGCGCATTTACTAAGGGATTATAGTAGCTAGATTGTTGGTGTAGTTCTTGAAAACAATGCCTACTTATAATTTGAAATAGGAGAAAAATCACACCAGAGTTATAAAAAACAGTCTTTTTACAGTTAATCCCAACACATTCAAAAGAAAATACTCTAACTGCTTGAAAGTAACTTATAATTTAATTTTAATATATAATGCCTTCCCGAGTATATTTAGTAAAGAATTTAACCGCCAATAAACTCTTTCACTTCCACCATGGAACAGACGGCTGCGTAATGAAGGTTTTTCCTCAAAGCCAGCAGAAATTTCCGTAATCGCCACTGAAGCAGACTAATCTTCAATACTCTTTAAATTGTTCAAATCTCGAACTCTAAAGCGTTTATTTTCATAAATTGTGGTTTAAGAAACGTTACATAATTAAAATAATGTCCAAAATATTCTAACGTTTAAATAACTCAATGTGCAAATATGCCAAAAATCATTGAATGATATTTTTTAAGTGTAGTAATTTTCACTAAGTTTTTATTATCTCATTTTCTTCTTCGTTTGTGTTCGGTACAAATTTTTTCGAAATAATTAAACGAAAATTAATCGATTTTAAACTAACTTCACCATGAACTAGAGACATAAAAATGGTCATCAGTTTGAATTGTAATTATTCATGTCTTTTACAAGCCGTGGTAGCTCAGTGGTTAACGCTCGCTGTAAATATAACAGAACGCGAGTAACCCGGGTTCGATCCCCGCCGGCACCAATGAAATTGTTAATTGCAATTTTAAGTGCTGATTACCACGTGCTCTGCGGTGAAGGAAAACATCGTGAGGAAACCTGTTTTTCACTTGAAGTTCGTCAACACGCGTTTGGGCAGCGCGGCGGACACTTCCTTGCCCTAAACCCTCTCAGAAATGAGGGGAGGCCTGAGCCCAGCAGTGGGACGTATATAGGCTGTAACTTTACTTTTTACTTTGTCTTTTACCTCCCGTTTGGAAAAAAATCTGGAAGGACCAAAAAAAAAGGAGTATTTAGGTAGTAGTTTTTAATAACGTATGTTGTACGAATAATTAAATATAAATTAAACACTTTCAATTGTTAGCGATCGTTTGTTTTTGTTTAATTAAAAAAAACTTATTTATTTTCTGGGACTTTCTTGTAAAATGATCGTGCCACATGAATACTTGTGACTTGAAGGCTTTTTTTAAATAAGTTTGTGCGTTTTATTTTACTTACATATAAATTTATATTTATGTTTTTAAATGAGGAAGAACTGAGTCCTGTCGAATCCTCTGTTTTTCTTGGCATTACTCTCGACGCTAAGCTTCAGTGGGGCCCCCATATATCTAAACTAGCAAGCAGACTAAGTTTTGCAGCTTATGCTGTAAAAAAGATTAGAGATTTCACCAGTGTCAAGACAGCTAGATTAGTTTATTTCAGTTTCTTCCATAGCATAATGTCATATGGGATTTTGCTATGGGGGAATGCGGTTGATTTAGAAACTATTTTTGTTTTGCAGAAGAGGGCCATAAGAGCTGTTTACAACCTTAAACCGAGAGTCTTTGTCCTCTCAGTATATCTATGAAAATTTGTATGTATGTTCACAAAAACTAAGGTAGTTTTAGTAAAAAAAGTGATATACACTCTGTAAACACTAGGAACAAACACAAGCTAATGTATACCAGTTTTTCGACTCCACAGATTCATTCTTGGGGCACAATGTATACGCTATTACAAGAAAGTCCCAGAAAATATACAAGGTTTATTACCAAGTTTAAATATTTAATTAAACAAAACCTGTATAAAAAGGGTTACTACGATATAAATGAATACATGGTTCATAATAACCCCTGGGAATGAGGTGGTCGCCTCCAAGCTGTTTCTAAAATAAAATTTGTAAATATTTTGTGACCATTGACATTGTAAAATTTATTTACAAAAAGTCCCGCTGTGTTTCTTGCTGGTTCTTCCCAGGACAGAGGTTATTTCCGGTAAACAATTGAGTTTCAATAAGAATAACTTGTAATCTATATTGAATAAAAATTATTCTATTCTATTATTGCTTTATTTTCTCCAAAATATGTTTTAGGAGTCGGCGTCCTGAAGCTTGGAATCGGGCGGTAGGAAACAAGCTTCAGGACGCCGATAGTTTAGGTAATTTCTTTTTTACAGTGAAAATAATGTTAATTTAAAAAAAAAATAACGTAAGCCCTGCTTTATAGTTGTTCAGTTAGTATGCAAAGTTTCATGATCTAATTTAAAGTATTTTATGAATAACAGCGGTTTATTGTTCAGTTTCGAGGTAACTTTGGATTTTTTTTCTATCGAGAAAATTTTACGGAATCATGTTTTCGTCTAAGTATCGTAGTACTTAACATTAATCTTCAACTTTACCATATATTTATTTCAAAATTAATGCTGCAATATTTTCGGTATAACGGAGGATCTTGATAAGCCATTTGAGGTTATATTCCCCCTTAAGTTATAAATTTGCTTTTATGACCCGTTTCTGCAAACATGTGTCAATTGCGTTTCTGCTAAGCATGATGTCCTATGTACCTTATTTTAATAACTAAAATAAAGGAGAGAACACTGAATCATAAATTTTGTGAAACACTATTTTTTATATAAACAGGATCGATTTCATCGTCGAGTTATTGCTACATATTTTTCAACCGTGTAGTGGCGGTTTAAGAACATCCATTACCCCATACGACCCATACCGTCCCGTGGGTGTCGGAAGAAACGATAGAGGAAAACAAACCAGGAGGTGGGCACCAGCGTCTTCCAAATAAGAAAAAATGAACTGCGGTTGTCAATTCGACTGCTTAACGTGGCAACTAAGGCAGACACCCCATTAAGAGGCAGTCTATGCGGGAGGCCTACATTCAGCAGTGGACTTTCAATAGCCTGTAACGATAACTGTATACTTTTTGAGGAAATGTATTTCTTTTTAGTAAGTTGTATGCAACGAAAGTAAGCGTATATTTTCGTTACAGCCAATTGACGTGAAACCATTTAAACCACAAAATGCAGAATGCTTGTGCAGCGTATCATTGGAAGCGGACTTTATGCTGAAGAAAACGTAAGTATGGTAACATAAATGAAACTTTAATATAGTTGTAGGAAGGTAGTTAAATAGAATTAATTTACAATCACAAAATACACGGATCACAGGTAATCAACTATAAATTGTACTGAGACTAATAATTAATTCGTTTACACGAATTAATTATCCGAATAGTCGAGGATGAGCTAGTAGCGGGATACCAACATGTGCACCGTGCTAGCCAGCGCCAAGACTGCTTTAATGGCTTTTTTTTGCGCCCGAAGCAAATATGGGCAACCCTCCGGAAAGCTGGGGAGGGAGGTGGGGAATGCTCATAGCATACCACGCAGCCGGCTGCGTGGTTATGTGGAGACTTTTACCCACTAAACCCCACCTTTTAGGGACTGGCTTAATACTCTAACTAGATCTCTAAGCCGTATCGAACGCGACCCCCCTTGGGTGAAAGGGGGCGCTAGCGGCGAGTAGCCGCTGGGAAGAGTTGCTGCCTAATTAAGGCAGCTTACGAATGGGATAACTACTTATATTGAGTTTAGAAGGTGTTGGTGCTCGGTAAGCGTGAGCAACAAAATGACAAAAAAAATGAGATTGACTTCATTATGACGACCAGACGCCAACTGTTCAGTGATGTCTCAGTGATCGCAAGGGTGAAAAATGGCAGCGATCACCGAATGGTTAGAGGCACACTGAACCTAAATGTTAAGTTGGAGAGGTCTCGTCTAATGAAGTCAACGCTCCGTCCCCTTCGTGCTCTAATCCAGAATCCCGAAACCTTTCAGCTCGAGTTACAAAACCGCTTTCAGTGCCTCGAGGATTGCAATGCAGTGGACGATATGAACGACAAGCTCGTGGAAACTGTCCATGCGGTCGGAGCTAAGTTCTGCAAGACCCGCCGCAGAAGAACACAAAAACTCTCCGATCACACTCGGAATCTTATGGCTCTTAGACGGGAGATGAGGCTGCAATCGTCAACAGATTTGACAGCATACAGGCAACTGAACAGACAGATCTCCAAATGCATGCGGCGAGACTTACGCAACTTTAATACTGCTCGTATTAAAGAAGCGATCGAGCGGAACCAGGGCTCCAAAGTCTGCCAGAGATCTGTCTGCCAGAAAGAGCCAACTGTCAAGGCTGAAGACTGAGTGTGGCAACATCGTTTCCGGGACACCTGAGATTCTGAGTGAGATTGAGAGGTTCTATTGGCAGCTGTACACATCATCGTTGGAGCCACACGTAAACTCTTCACCGCTGCGTTGGAAGACGTTTTCAAGCTACTGGACTGGAAAGGATACGGTATTAACATCAATGGCGAGTACATCACTCACCTTCGATTTGCCGACGATATAGCCCTTATGGCAGAATCGCTGGAGGACCTTAGCACTATGCTCAATGACCTCAATGGTGTCTCCCAACGGATAGGTCTTAAGATGAACATGGACAAAACAAAGATTATGTTTAATGTCCATGTCACACCTATGCCGGTAGTTGTTGGGAGCACTATGCTCGAAGTTGTTGACGAGTACGTTTACCTGGGACAAATAGTCAGACTAGGTAAGTCCAACTTCGACAGAGAGGTCAATCGACGGATTCAACTCGGCTGGGCAGCGTTCGGGAAATTACGACACATCTTCTCGTCAGGTATACCTCAATCTCTGAAAACTAAAGTGTATAACCAGTGCGTGTTGCCAGTGATGACTTACGGTTCTGAGACGTGGTCCTTCACCGCTGGCCGTATGAGGACGCTCAAAGTCGCTCAGCGAGCTATGGAGAGGGCTATGCTCGGAGTTTCACTGCGTGATAGACTCAGAAATGAGGATATCCGCAGTAAAACCAGAGTGACCGACATAGCCCAACGGATTAGTAAGCTGAAGTGGCAATGGGCCGGCCATATAGCTCAAAGAACCGATAACCGATGGGGAAGAAAGGTTCTCGAGTGGCAGCCTCGTACCGGTAGGCGTAGTGTAGGGCGACCCCCCCCACTAGATGGAGTGACGACCTGGTAAGACATGCAGGAAGTCGATGGATGCAGGTGGCTCAGGACCGTGCTTTGTGGCATTACTTGGGGGAGGCTTGTTCAGCATTGAATGAAGGGCTGTAATGATGATGATGATGATGATGAAGCGTGAGCAGGCGGTCTTCAGGGGACTGAGAAGCGCGAAGTTTGCGTGCTAAAATTGCGATCTCTCTTGCGTCGATATTGCGGATAGCAGTGTATACTGTATCAACGTTAACGGCGTAGGAGGGTTCCGCTTGCAGTCGGGGCTCTAGTGGGCGAAGGTGAGGAGGCCTATAGGGTCCCTGAGGGGGCTGATATAGGTCCTGAGGTGACTGGGAGTTGCCCTGAAGGGGCTTTTTGGATGGGAGAGCCGGGAATGTACGTTCATTGACCGGTGGCGGAGCTTTTTTGGCAGCTTTGTTGCCGAGATTGGGGCGAGGCGCGGGAGGACAGCCTCTGAAGTTGGCCGTATTGCCGGTCTGTCCGCAAATGACGCAAGCGGGTGGGTGCTCGGTGTCACAAGGCCGAGGACACTCTTTCGAGCTGTGCGGGTCTAGGCACTTAACGCACCTGGGAGGGGCTGAGCAGTTGGCCGCCGCATTCCCGTAGAGTTGGCAGCGGTGGCACTGCGCCGGAAAACCGCGCCTATAGGGGGCTTCAACTTTGACTCTCGACAGGCCGCACACAGTGCGTACCTGTCGGAATATGTCTTTCGCCTCCGGCACGTTGGACAAAATGAGGAGGGCAAGCGAGTACCTCTTGTCCCTACTGCTGTGCATCTTGTGCACAGCCTCAACTGGGAATCCCTGGGACTTAAGGTCCTCTAGGATGTCCTCGTTGGTGAGTTCAAAGGGAACTCCTCGTAGGACAGCCCTGACTCTATTACGATCTTCAGGGAGAGAGTAGGTGTGATAGAGCACACCTTCGGATGTGAATAGTTTGGTGATGTTTCTAAAGTCTTCTATAGACTGCGGAACGATTTTAATTGACTTACCAAGGTTGGTAGCTTGGTAATATTTAAAGCCTGCGTCGTAACAGACTTTAGAAAGTCTAGTAAATTGCGCCTTGTCCCTGAGGAAGACAGGGGGCGGGACCCGTTTCTTTGTGGCAGCGACGGGGGCTGCGGTGGAGCGAGCAGGCGCGGGAGCTGCGGTGGAACGAGCAGGCGCGGGGGGCTGTGGTGGAGCGAACAGGCGCGGGGGGTGCGGGAGGTGCGCGAGAGATCGCAGCGCGTTTCGAGCCGCGCTTGGATTTCACTTCCGTAAAGGGGGTTTGTATCAATAAGTGATTGATCGGACTGTGATGAGTCCGAGGAGCAGCTACTGGGTGAGGAGATCGACGTAGGAGCGGACCTCTTACGGGTGGACGAAGTTTCAGACAAGGTGTCCGAGTGCTTCATAGCTTCGGAGTCATCCTCCGCTAAGAATGTCGGGATGACGGGCGGAAGGTTACATTTAAGGGCAATGGGGGGTTTCTTTGAGAAGAGAGAAGAGAAGGGTTTCGTCAATATTGACGGGTACTCCCTGTTTTTGGCCTAATTGACGGAAATAGGCCGCAATCTCCGCTCACATATGGGCTTAAGTTCATGGTAGACATGTTGATTTGGACAGGGGGTGACGATTTATACTAAGAATCTAGAGGTCCCTGTTCTGAGAAGAACAGGGCCTTGGGTGGCAGATGGGGAGGACTGACGTTCTATTCCCAGAAGCTGGGGTCCCTATGTTCTGAAAAGAACAAGGGCTCGCTCTGAGAAGAGCAAGAGACGATCTTCCAAGAACAGTAACAACAACAGAGTAACAATATAACAATAATAAAACAATAACAGAAAAAATTTATATAACAAAATAAAAGCAAAGCGCGCTCAAACATCCCCGCCGGAGCGAGGGGGCAAGAACGATGCGAAAAAACAAAGGAACTCACCAACGGCGTCTGCTCGGCCGGTGTTAGCCGGGGAGAGCGGGGCGCGCGGGCGAGAGGTTGCACTCCGCACGAGGTCGGAGCACGAACTGTATGCACGACCGCTCGGGGGCGGTGCGCAGACGGAACTGCTTTAATGGCGGCCGCTTCGTCCGTTTTATACAATCGAGACAAGTAGCTACACGAGCGCCACTGCAGGTGGCATGCGCAGGTGTGCGGTGCACGTGTTGTTTACAATAATTCCGACTACCCACATAGGTGCTGCGACATAGTCATATTTCAGTACAGACAGACACTTTTACAGTAATGAAAGATAGAAAATGTTTAAACTTTATTAGTAAAACACGTCGCGTATTCGATTGGCAAAACGAGATGTTTTGATAATTCACTTATACGCAGTTATTTTACTATAGAAAGTGTAAAGTGTTTGGGAGAGGAATAATAAATATTCCTAACGATCCTCAAATCCCGAATTAATTTAACTCGTACCTGTTACCTAAGTCCATATGACCGGCAACCGGGCATCTTGCGGCAACATATAATCAAAGTCGAAAAGTTAATTTGCTTAATTGAGTATAATCCGTAAAAGTAAAAGTAGTAATATATAATTTATAAAACATATCACATATTTAATTAGAGCCATCTTAACTTTGAAACTGTCTACGTATACGTTTTATAGCACAGCCGTATCACAATCCACAATATTATAACAAAACGATGAGCGATCTGCCTAAACTTCACTCATTTCGAACTTCATTCTACCCTTCGATCAACAATACTAACTAGATAACGGGGTTACGTACAAAATCATAGCTAAATACTGTTCGCATTAATATAAACTATGAAGACATAAATTAAATAACATTTAGTGTGAAATCAACATTAAGTTATAACAAATAAAGTTCTTTTTCCCGTTATTGCCTTGCGAGCTACACTCTCACGTGCAAGAGCTCACGTCTCATGCGCGCTCTTATTTCGTAGATGGATTTCTTGCGCCGACCCGACATCTAGTTGGTATTGTTGATCGAAGATTCTACCGGCACTAATCGAAGAAAGAAAAGAAAGAAACACTTTATTTTGGTAAAACTATTGATGTACACAG